GGGTTCCCGAAAGAGGAAAGTGATAATCTTACTGTGACCAAAAAAAAAAAAAAAAAAAATCTCTCTGGTTATCACGTCCTGGGACGGCCAATGGGACTTAATCATGTGGGCCATGACTGCGCCAGCTTTGCCATGTCCTCTGAACAGACAGGAGAGACACCGAAAAAGCCCTGACCTTCCCGCTGAAGTTTGTGCTGTTCAGACTACTGTTGGACCCAACACTTTCTGCGCTATCCTGGACCCCCTTCATAGACAAATTGGGGCTGTTTGGAGGCCAAGGTCCTTTTATCCCCAGGGGAAACCAGAGGCCTTATGTAGTGGTTGAGGTGAATTAGAAAACTGAGAACGATGAAAATTCCCAAACCCTCTCAGGCCTCCCGTGGGCCACTGTGATACTGGGGCATCCCCACAGGCGTGGATGAGAGCTCACCCTTACTAGATTTGGACAAATTGAACACTGGATTGCTGTAGTTCTGGAGCGGGCCCTTTTGAGCCAACACACACCCAAGTGGTTGTAACTAATACTGTTGAATGTATTGTGGGAGCAGAAGTTTTGAGTATGTGTGTTAACGTCTCTTGATTGTAAGGGATGTTCCCAAAGGGGAAATGTCACGATTAGGATTGTGGTCATTAGGATAGGGACAAGTGGTCACCCTGAAGCAGAGCAGGACAGGGGGATGAAGAGGGGAGCTACTGTCTTGACGAAGGAGCTAGTAGATTTAAGGGAGCTCAAGGACCTGATATCTCCTTATAATAGTCCTGAGTGGCCACTAATAAAGGTCAGTTGCCTGTGATGCCTCACAGATTATTACAAGTCCCAGAGCTCATGGCACAGACTGAAGAAGACACCTGGGTGTGGTGGGAGACATTGCTTGCTAATGCCTTTTTTAGCATCCCATTACATCCAAAGGATGAAAATCATCTTGCCTTCATTGGCTTGGGTTGCAGTACACCTTTCCAGTGATGCCACAGGACTAGCTGAATTCTGTGATTTGCCACCAGTCCTAACTCCTGTAGGAAGAGCATTATGACAACAGATTATGGGAACACGTGTCCCTGTTCACAACCCACAGAAAGCATGGTGGTTATCTCACATGTCCACTTGGCTGAGCCATAGTGCCCAGATACATGGTCAAACATTATTCTGGATGTTGCTGTGAAGGCTTTTTTGCGATTAACATTTAAATTGATGGTGTTTGAGGAAAAGCAAATCTCCCCCATATTGTGGGTAGACCTTATCGAATCAGCCAAAACCCTGCAGAGAACAAGAGACTGACCTCTCCCAGTCAAGAGGGAAGTCTGCAGCAGATGGCTTTTGGACTTGAACGGCTCTTCCCTGGGTCTCCCACCTCCCAGCTTTCAGACTTTAAGTGTAGCATTAACTCGTCTCTGGGTCTCCAGCCTGTTGGTCTACCCTCCAGACTTTTGACTTGCCAGCTTCCATTGTTGCAGGAGCTTATTCCTTTAAACACACATGCATCCATACATCCTACTGGTTCTTCTCTGGAGACTCTTGACTAAAACAGGCTACCCACGGAAAAAGGACACTTTGACCATGAACATCAGTGGAACCAACTGGTTAGACCTGTACCAGGTAAGAACTACAGCCACCTGGATCGATGATCACACAGGACATGGCTGGCTGGCTGTAACCCAGGGCTTGGCTGATACCCCTGGACTATCGGCCAGTGCGTGTGGCCTAAGATGCCAACACTACAAGCTACACAGGGGAGTGACAGAAGTCTGGGGCACTGAACCTGGCTGGTCGTGACAAAGAGACTAGATGGGTCTCCTGCTTTCTGCTCAGTGGTACTCCTGGGCCATGACTGCTATCGGCAGCTTTTTCCAGATATGGACAGCAATTCCCGTCTGCACAGTAGATGTGGGGCGTGCCATTCAAAGACTCCTAAATGCGTGGGGTTGCACATATGCGTTCTCCAAACATCCAATCAGACAGTGGTGCTTTCATGCCCAAAAGCACTCAGCCGTGGTAACTACCCGCAGCGTTCCCCGGACATTTCATGCCCTGTATCACTGACAGGTAGCAGGTGCCAACGAAAGATGGAATGCGCCCTTAAAGGAAAAACTAAAAAAAGGTAAGTAGATGACAGACCCTCAGCTCCCGAGCGCACCCTTGAGATGAAGCAGTGTGATTTCTGAACATGGCAATTCCAGGAAGGGGCGGTTCTCATCCAGATAGTGTTTAACTGTAAGGTTGAGAGGAAGAAAAGAGGCCTTGACTCACTGTAACCCCATATTTAGTTCCCTTTACTCTTTCTTCTCCCCTCTCATCCCTACCTCCAGGAAACCAGGCTCCTGGGCCCTACAGCAGCAAAAAAGAGCCAGGGGTGGGAGAGCCTAACCTAGTGCTTCTCCTGCTGCTCTGGTTATGCCTGAGGACATTAGGACTCTACTGGCCTGCCAAATACAAACCAGTCTGAAGTCTGTAGTACAAGTGGTGACGGACAATCCTTTTGCTCTGGGCTTTGCGCTGGCCAGTCAAGGCAGCATATTCACGGCTCCCAACAACTCTTGTAGCACTCGAGTTAATGAATAAGGAAAAATGGAGTGATCTATCTCTCGACTTACAAACAGGGTGGCTCTAAGGTTGATCCCAGTGGCATCTGGGACATCATGGTTTGGCTCTAAGGAGGGAGCCTGGCTGTGGTCTCTCCTCCACCTGGGCCCGATCACTCCACCCGGAGGCACAGTTGTGGTCACTGTCATCTGATGTTAAGACAAAAAGAAAGAATTTGGTCCAAGCTCCCATCAGCACGACTAGCTCTCTGATGGAGAGGCTATGCTCCTGCAAAGAATTCTTGGCTGGATACGTGAAAGGTTGGGGCAGCAGGAAGTAGAGCGGCAGGGAGCACAGAGCCCTGATGCTCTTGCCCAGCGCCCGAGAGGCCACGAAGGTGAGGCTTGACCACAGAAGCACCCAAGTCTTGGCAGAACGTTTTCTTTTCTTTTTCTTTTCTTTTCTTTTTTTTTTTTTTTTAAGATTTTATTTATTTATTTGACAGAGAGAGAGAGATCACAAGTAGGCAGAGAGGCAGGCAGAGGGAGAGGGGGAAGCAGGCTCCCCGCTGAGCAGAGAGCCTGATGCAGGGCTCTATCCCAGGACCCTGAGACCATGACCTGGGCCAAAGGCAGAGGCTTAACCCACTGAGCGCCCAGGCACCTGGCAGAATGCTTTCTGATTCTGCCTGGAGCCAGAGGACAGAAGCAGCCTGACAGTGTGGGGACACTGTCACCAGGCCCTCTCTCATCCCTCCTCCTAGCTCATCTGTGGGGCTTTCCACGAGGCCCCTCCCTCCGTGTCAAGGGCAGCTGCAGGCCGTGAAAATGGCTCGATTGTTGCTGAGTTGGCTCCCTAGCCACGGAGAGACCTACGTCCTCACAGCCGATCACTCCGTCCGTCCCCCAGTTCACTCTTGTCCTCTAACTTGGGAAAGCTGACACCACACTGGTCTTGCTTTTGCTGTCTGAGTAGAAAGCTATGTGGATCCGTGGGGTGTGTGTGGGGGTGTTCTTACTGGCTGAGGCTAGGGAAATGCGGCAGGCTCACCTAGCAGCTTCCGCAGTGACCCTCGTGGTCTGTTAGCCACCATGCTGTGCTTAGGGACTGCTTGACCTCTTGACAGAGAGGATCATTTTGGGGGTGATGGGAATGTTCTGTTTTGATTGGAGTGGTGATTATCCTTGTGGATATATTTATCAAAACTGATTAAGCTGTATACACTTAAGACTTGTGCCATCATGGGGCACCTGGGTGGCTTAGTGGGTTAAAGCCTCTGCCTTAGGCTTGGGTCATGATCTCAGGGTCTTGGGATCCAGCCCTGCATTGGGCTCTCTGTTCTGCGGGGAGCCTGCTTCCCCCTCTCTCTCTGTCTGCCTGTCTGCCTACTTGTGATCTCTCTCTGTTAAGTAAATAAATAAATTCTTTAAAAAAAAAGAGAGACTTGTGCCATCAACTGTGAATTATATGTCACATTTTTTAAAAACCACACACACACAAAAAAAACCCCACCAGGGAACAAATAAGAGGTTTTGAAAATTATGATTGCCAAAATGAAAAATCCAATAGAAGGCTGGAAGATAAATTTCCCTGTACACAGGGCAAAACACAGAGGCCTAGGGAACCATGAACCTAGCCTAGGTCTAACACCTTAGTATCGGGCCTTTCGGTTTGTAAATAAACCTAGAAGAATGTTTGTGGTGATAAGAGATGGGAGTTAAAACAATGAGATGACAGTTTAAGTAACAATTTTTTTAAAAACTGTAAGCAATATTCAACAGTTTGTCACTGATAGCACAATCCTTTGGGGGAGCAACGGATCTCCAAGTAGGCTCACACAGGTCTGTATCTTTAAGGCCCAGGTAATCTCACTGCTGCGAATCTGTCCGAAGGTAACACTATAAGAAGAAAAATGTGGAATTCAGGAAGATGTTCACTGCGTATGTTTATGACGCTGCAAAATTATGAACCACCCAGACGCCCAGGGAAAGAAGAACCACCAGGAAGACGGTGTCTTACTGACGGGGTGGCAAGCACGGAAAGGGATAGTGATCAACGCACGTGTGGGGAGGAGCAGCAAAACTCCTTGGCCTGAGAAGCGTAGCCGCATCCAGTTAAGGCGGCCCGGCGCAGAACAGGGCGCGCTCGGAAAATGGGCTTCACCGCTCAGCGGCTGAAATGGAGGAACGTTTCCCCTGCTGCTTGGCAATGCGCGGACGCTAGTAAGCTCCAGAAAATAAAGTTGCGCGCCCCTCGCGCAGGTTCCGCAGCGCGCCCAGGCCCGGCCCGGGCTGCGGCTGCGCACTGCGGCCCCGCTGCCGGTCCCGGGGCGGCTGGCGGGGGCGGGGCGTGGCCAGAGCGGCGCGGCTGTCTCCGCCCCCCGCGCTGGTCGGCGGGCTGCCGCGGGAGGTAGGACTGCGGGCGCGGGGCAGGCGCAGCGGAGCGCGCGGGCGGCCCTGGCCCCGCAGGAGCGCGGCTGCGGCGCGCGGAGCAGGCAGCGACGGCTGGGCTGACGCCCGCCTTCGTCTGCGTCGCTGCCTCCGCGCGGGTCGCCGCCCCCGGGGATGTGAGGGGCGCAGCTCGGCCGGCGGGGCCTGGAGCGGCACGGAGGCCGGCTGCGGACGGTAACGCGCCGGGCGGATCCGGGGGAGGGCTCCGGCTGCGCTCCGGGCCGTGACCCGGGTGGGCGGCAGAAGAGCGAACGGCGCTTCGGGTCCGAGGCGGCCCGCGCTCCCGCGCCCTGCCGTTGTCGACGCGGTCCCCGGGGCCGGGAGAGTCGGCGAGGGCCGCGGCCGGGAGGGGGCTGGGCCGGCCGGCGGGCGGGCCACCGAAGACCCGGCGGCAGGTGCCTACCCACCCTGCGACCCAACTCTCTCTCCCCGCAGCTCCACCCACTTTGGCCTAGACCCAACCTCCAAGGGCTAAAAATATTGCCCGGAGGCTTCTGAGCGGAATCAGATCGTGCTAAGTAGGGCACGACGCGCAGAGGCGACAGAGCTCCTCGGCCCCAGGGCGGGAGCCAGTCTCCGGAGCGGCGGTTCCGCCCACGCTCGGCCCAGCAGCTAGCGGCCTCCCTCTCCCCCAGCAGGCAAATGGGGGCCCGCGGGCGGTGGCAGCGGGCACTGGTCCCCCGAAGTTGCCCCCCAGCGGAGCAGTGTGTGCAGCTTCTCTCTAGCTGGGGGACCTTGGGCACCAATCACTGCTGGCTTCCCAGGGGGTCCCCCAAGTGCTCTAGAACCAAAAGCTGAAAGTTACCCGCTGCAGGAATCCCAACCAGCCCGGAGAAGAAGCAGGGCCCGTTTGGTGTTAGAAACGCGAGCCGCTCTTGCAGCTTTGTGAACTCATTCTGAATTTCTTAATGAGAGACGTGCTGTGCCAGGCGCTTTCTGGTGTGCATCCGTCTGATCCAAGAGGGCAGAAGAAAGGCTTTCCTGTCCGTGCCTTTAAAGCAAACTAAATCTGTTTATTCCTCTGAAACTAGAAGCACATGGTCGAGGAGACTGGACACCTACCTCCTTTGGCTGTGTCTTTCTTGTAGGGAAGTTAATTATGACCCCGAGGTTGTGGGGTGAACTCTGGAGTCAGACCTGGGAAGTCTGTTATCCTGTTGTGTTACCCTGGGAAGGAGCAGCCTCCGCATCCTAGGGGCAGAGCTGCCATAGGACTGGACAGGACGAGCTCCTGGAGCTTTCTGGGTCTCAATGGAGAGAGGAGGCTCCACAGCCAATGTTGGGATTTGATCCTTAGAAACTTGCTTTTCTCTGGAGTCAGGCAAATAGATGCGCCTAGACAGTGGCACTCATAAACTCTTTGGGGCATTTGGTGGAAAGACCAACAAAGGGATTTTGCCTGCTGGAGCCACAGATGGTGTCCCTCCTGCCAGGTGTGTGTGGAGGCCAGTATGAAGCTGAAAAAGCAGGTGACAGTATGCGGGGCTGCGATCTTCTGCGTGGCTGTCTTCTCGCTCTACCTGATGCTGGACCGAGTGCAGCATGACCCCACCCGTCACCAGAATGGTGGGAACTTCCCCCGGGTGAGTCAGACCTGGCTGCTAATCTCTTCACATACACAGGTCATCTCAGCTCAGGTGGAGAGTCAGTGTCAGCCCAGGACAGGAACGTTTCTTCCCAATAGGCAGATTTTCTGGAAATGCAAAGATAAAAACAAGGATAGCAAAAAGAGAGAAGGAAGGAGAAACGTGTCCCGCCGTTCTATCCTCCTGAATTCTTGGCAGACATTGCTAATGGATTCTAGCATTCTTTCCTACTAAGCCCGGATGCAGTCCTTGTCAGCACCATGCCCCAGACAGGCCGCACCTGGAGAATAGGCACTCGAGATGAAATCTTCGCCTTCCATGCGCTGGGGTGGGTGGGTGGGCGGTGAGGGTACTCCCAAGCTAGGGGGACCGTAGTCCTCTGTAGTGATTTGCAGATCTCCCCTCGTCTGACCAGAGCCATCCAGGCCTGTAGGCCCCTGGCTCTGCCTGCACTTGGGGAGAATGATCCCAGTCAGGCCTCGGGTGGTGGGCCCCATGGAGATCCTCCCTGTGGCGCCAGGAGCCGTGGGTGATTGCTTTCTGGTCTTTCGGCAGAGCCAAATTTCTGTGCTGCAGAACCGCATTGAGCAGCTGGAGCAGCTGTTGGAGGAGAACCATGAGATCATCAGCCACATCAAAGACTCGGTGCTGGAGCTGACAGCCAACGCAGAGGGCCCGCCCGCCCTGCTGCCCTACTACACGGCCAACGGCTCCTGGGTGGTGCCACCAGAGCCCCGGCCCAGTTTCTTCTCCATCTCCCCTCAAGACTGCCAGTTTGCTCTGGGGGGCCGGGGCCAGAAGCCGGAGCTGCAGGTAGGGGCCCACGCCGGCGGGGAGCGCTGGTGGTTGTGGCTGGGCGCTGAGCTGCTCTCTGGCCTGGCAGATGCTGACCATATCAGAGGAGCTGCCCTTTGACAACGTGGATGGCGGCGTGTGGAAGCAAGGCTTCGACATCTCCTATGGGCCCCACGACTGGGACGCTGAAGACCTGCAGGTGTTCGTGGTGCCTCACTCCCACAATGACCCGGGTGAGGCCCCGGCGGAGCCCTGGGAGCCGGGCTGTGCGGGCGGGGGGGGGGGGGCTCCGATGGCAGGGGTGAGGGAGGGGCCCACAAAGAGGCTGGCGTCCTAAGGGGACCCTGTGTTGGCTCCCCAGGCTGGATCAAGACCTTTGACAAGTACTACACGGAGCAAACCCAGCACATTCTCAACAGCATGGTGGGCAAGCTGCAGGAGGACCCCCGGCGGCGCTTCCTCTGGGCCGAGGTCTCCTTCTTCGCCAAGTGGTGGGATAACATCAATGCCCAGAAGAAAGCGGCAGTCCGCAGGCCAGTGCCCACCGGGGAGAAACGGGAGGGCTGCCATCTGGGCCCCGGGATGGCTGCCAGAGCAGCTGGAGGCCAAGTGGTGGGCGCCAGTGTGGCAGGGAGAAGCGAGGGCAGAGGGGCCGAGGCAGAGAAGACAAGAACTGGTGTTAGGAGAAATCAGTCACATGAAGCTGTATGCCCAGCGAGGAAGGACCCCAGGGCCTGGCCCCAGGAAGCACAGATGGAGGTCCAAAGGGAGGTTGGGCCGGGACAGCATGGAGGTTGTATGGCGGGGAGAGGAGGGCGCTCCTTTGTTCTGTGGGTCCTGGGCTTGGGCCAGGCTGGGTGTGGCGAGTGGGCTCGGTGAGGCCAGCACGCACCGGTCCTGGCACTTCTGGTCAGTGGGACTGGGCAGAGCATCCCTGCCCCATGCTGAGTGTGAGTCCCTCACTCCAGGCTGGTGGGAAACGGGCAGCTGGAGATTGTGACAGGAGGCTGGGTGATGCCAGACGAGGCCAATTCCCATTACTTTGCACTCATTGACCAGCTCATTGAGGGCCACCAGTGGCTGGAGAGAAACCTCGGTGAGTCTGGGCTCAGGAATGGGGTCTGTCCCCATAGCTGCGCCCAGGAGGCAGCAGGGGCCTGTGGGGCACAGGGATTGGCAGGGGTTGGGGGGTGTTCCCTTTCCAGGCTGATTCCACCAGCTTGGGCCTGGCGTGATGACAAGAAGGGAGCTGGGTCCCCAGGACCAGGGAGCCCACCTGTGGCTCCTGTGTCCTCTCAGGTGCAACCCCGCGGTCTGGCTGGGCAGTGGACCCCTTCGGCCACAGCTCCACCATTCCCTACCTGCTGCGCCGTGCCAACCTGACCAGCATGCTGATCCAGAGGGTGCACTATGCCATCAAGAAGCACTTTGCTGCCACCCACAGTCTGGAGTTCATGTGGAGGCAGACCTGGGGTAAGACCAGGTAGGGTGGAGGGGGTCACGGTTCTCCCTGGAGAAGGACAGGAGGATGAGAAATAAGGCTCCGGAGCAGACCAGTGAGCGCTAGTGCCGTTGGCCAGAGTGCTCTCCTCCTTCGGGGGAGGTCGGGGGTCACGTTCACTCCTGGCCTCTGCAGGGCCTGCTGTCTATCCCGCAGGTCTGAGCTGCCCAGCCCCTGGAGACACCGTGGGCTCCGTGCCCAGCTCCGGGGGTAGCCTGCTTTGGGCTGATGGCCCGCTCTGTCTTCTCCAGACTCGGACGCCAACACGGACATCTTCTGCCACATGATGCCCTTCTACAGCTATGACGTGCCCCATACCTGCGGCCCGGACCCCAAGATCTGCTGCCAGTTCGATTTCAAGCGGTTGCCAGGTGGACGCATCAACTGCCCCTGGAAGGTGCCGCCCCGGGCTGTCACAGAGGCCAACGTGGCTGAGAGGTACTCGCTTCCGGCCTGCGCTGGGCCATTTCACACAGAGGAGCCAGGAGACCTGGCCTCAGGCCGGGCTCTGCTTCACGGGGGGTGAGGGCGTTTGTACCTCTAGAATGAGGGGTGGGCGCAGGGGGTGAGTTCAGGTCCCCAGCCACTAAGGTGGCAGCTCCTTTACTGAACCTCCCTGGAAAACTGGAATTATCCAGAATGGTTTTATTTTCCCAAATGATATTTCCCAGCCAGTGCCGGTTGATTGACTCAGAAGGGAACAATTCTCAAAATAAGTGAATTTCCTTGCACCCTGTGGCCTAATATGCCTTTATTTAGCACGGGCATCCTGCCTTGGCTCAAAATTGGCCAGGAGCCCCCATTCAGATGCACAATCAGTCCGCCCAAGAGCCCCCAGCCTCAGAGAAAGCCCACCTGTGCCCCCAAGGGTTATTAGGGATCCCTAAAGATGTCTCTGTTGCTGAAGTCAGCCCACACCCTGGAAGAGGGCAGACTAAGAGTGATCTAGAACAGTGGGTTGGTCAGAACCAAATGGCTTTGGGAATATAACAAGTTGAACTGGTTTTCGTGTTGCAGTAACTCAGATTTCCATGAGGTCCGAGAGGCGAAATGTGTGACCAAAAGGGAAAGAAAATGGTCTTTTGTTTCTGAAACTCAGAAATCCGAATGCTGATTTTAAGCAAGATTCTAGGGCTGTTAAGGCGTGGTGTGTCCTAGAGCAGCAGTTGTGACCTGTGATTACCAGCCCAGGTCTGTGGAGGGCAAGTCATGAGAGTAACTTCGTCTTCTCCTTTGAAAGGCTTACTAGGCTCAGGAATTAGGGGGAGAGGGTGTTCGAGGGGTACTCCCTTGAGTGCAGAGTAGTATAATAGTACCCACTGGGTCAGCACAGTTAAGTAGATTAGTGGCTGGGTGAACCACGGTACCCACAACGTGCCAATTACTAGATTGGTCTGAAAAGAGACAGGGACTTTAATGAGAGGCTGCGAGGCTCTGATTTTCTATTGATTTTACCAGTTATTTGACTGAAAACGGAAATGACAAATGTGTATTTGTCGTTTCTGCTGTATGTGCAAGGCGCCGTTCTAAGTGTTCAGTATATACGAATTCGTGGGTTTTTTTTCATGATTTTATTTATTTATTTGACAGAGCGAGAGATCACAAGTAGGCAGAAAGGCAGGCAGAGAGAGATGGGGAAGCAGGCTCCCCACCAAGCAGAGAGCCCGATGCAGGGCTTGATCCCAGGACCCTGACATCATGACCTGAGCTGAAGGCAGAGGCGTAACCTACTGAGCCACCTAGGTGCCCCCATTTAGTTTGTTTTAATTCTCAAAACATCATGATGGTAGGTACTGATGTTCTCCTCATTTTATAAAAACTGAGGCCCAGAGAAGTTAAGTAACTTGCCTAGGGTCACTCAGCCTAGTCCGTGTGGAGCTGGCCTAGTCTGGCTCTGGTTCTAGGCTCTTTGGTGGTGTGCTGTGCCACTAACTGGTAGGCAAAGTGAAGCCAGATGTCAGGGTCAGGATCCCACAAGATCACCAGAGGTTGTGTGTGATGTGGGTCGAATCCAACCTGATGAGATTTATTAGATGTAAACGTAAGGTTCCCCTCTTAGCCTCAGAAAACAGCATAGAAAAGTTCAGGATGAGAAGAGAGGACCTTGCTGAACCTCGGGCACGGGAAATGTGCATGCTGGCTGACATCAGCTCCATGGGTGACCGTGGGGCTGCCAGAGACGCTCCTGCTGATGCCTCTGCACGCCGGCCGGCCGAGGGGGCGGTCAGGGGGCCCACCTGGACTCCCGCCTCCAGTGCTGGGCCCCTTGCTCTGCGGGGCACAGGCACAGTGTGCTGGGGAACCGCTGGGGATGGAGGGACCCGGGAGACAGAGGAGCTGGGCTTGTGGAGTGGGAATGGAAGGCACAGAGGAGTGTGGTTTGCATCTGGAGGACAATGGTGGGGGGGTGCTGCGTTGTGTGTGGTGTCCAAGGGCCACCGTGATATCCAAGACCTGCAGCCGGAAACCACAGCCCAGCCTGGGAAGACGTCCCTGGTTGTCAGAACTATCCAGAGAACATGGGGCTCCTGGGCACAGGTCTCCCAGTCTGGGTGGTGCCCACTGCGGGCCCCATGACTCCTTGATGGATGTGTTCAGGGGCCCTCTGGGGCTGGCTCAGCCCCATTCCTCTTAAGCCCAGACTCCACTGGGGCCCGTGCCCTTCCCCACTGCAGGGCCGCGCTGCTCCTGGACCAGTACCGGAAAAAGTCCCGGCTATTCCGAAGCAACGTCCTCCTGGTACCACTGGGGGATGACTTCCGATACGACAAGCCCCAGGAGTGGGATGCCCAGTTCTTCAACTACCAGCGGCTCTTTGACTTCCTCAACAGCAAGCCTGACCTCCATGTGCAGGTGGGAGGGGCGCCGAGCTGGGGCGCAGGTTGGGGGGTCCCTCCCCAGTGCTGCAGACTGGCCTGGCCTGGGAGGTTACCAGCTCCGGGGGGGGCGGTTTGTGCCCGACTCTTGGGCAAGAGTCTCCCTTTTCTGTCAGAGTTCCTCTGTGGGCCTCCCAGCGTCTGCGTGCGGTCCCGCAGGGCAGGACGTGCCACGTCCGCCTGCGCATAGGCAGAATCTCTCCCCCAGTGCCCGGCTGCAGCCCTGGGGGCCACAGCTTCTAGAAGCTCTGGAACTGATGGGAACGGGTTTTGGGGTCTCTGCAGGCCCAGTTTGGCACCCTCTCTGACTATTTTGACGCTCTGTACAAGAAGACCGGGGTGGAGCCGGGGGCCCGGCCTCCAGGCTTCCCCGTGCTGAGCGGGGATTTCTTCTCCTACGCGGACCGGGAGGACCATTACTGGACTGGCTACTATACTTCTCGGCCCTTCTACAAGAGCTTGGACCGGGTCCTGGAAGCCCACCTGCGGTGAGGCTCACTCCTGCTTCCAGGCCAGAGGGAGGAGAATGAGCTTTCAGGGTTTTAGGAGGAGCCGGACTGGCTGAGAATGCACTAGAAGGGCTTGGAGACGAAGGCGGGCGGAGACGTGGTGGAAGGAAGGGGACGGGGCTTGCTGAGCACGGTGGACCTGGGGGTCGTGCAGGCAGAAGTGTGACCCCTCTGTCTGGCAGGGGTGCGGAGATACTGTACAGTCTGGCTACCGCTCACGCCCGCCGCTCTGGACTGGCCAGCCAGTACCCGCTCTCAGACTTCGCCCTTTTGACGGAAGCTCGGCGCACTCTGGGCCTCTTCCAGCACCACGACGCCATCACCGGCACCGCCAAGGAGGCAGTTGTGGCAGACTATGGCATCAGGTGGGGGCCCCCGCCGGATCCATGTCCTTGCCCACTGTCCTAAAGAAAGGCCATGCTGGGCAGTCAGTGGGCAGGCCTGGCGAGGGCTCTTCCTGCCGGGGAGGTGGGCAGTCTGTCTGTGGCCGTGTTCTCCATGGCCCCCTCCTGCCTCCTGTGTCCCCAGGCTCCTGCGCTCCCTTGTGAGCCTGAAGCAGGTCATCATCAATGCGGCTCACTATCTGGTGCTGGGGGACAGGGAGACCTACCGCTTCGAGCCTGAGGCGCCCTTCCTCCAGATGGTGAGCCCCGCTTCTCTGTCCACTCGGGGCGCTCTCTGGAGTGTGCAGTCCATCCAAGAGGGCATCCCTCTTCCTGTCCTGCCTTCCCTGGAGGGAAAGATCGGTGCCCAGCGAGGCTGGTGGTCCACAGCCAGGACAGGCAGGGGCTGGGGAGGAGACAAGACCCTGAGCCGGGCCAAGCCCCATGACGGTTCTTCCCTTCCAACCCATCTAATCCCCAGGATGACACCCGCTTAAATCACGATGCCCTGCCAGAGCGCACAGTGATCCAGCTGGATTCCTCCCCCAGGTGAGCCAGACCCGGCCAGGCAGAGGTGAAGCCCCCCGGCTCCCGGCACCGTCTCCCCCACGCCTGCCCAGGCACTGTGGGACGCAGCCTGGCCACAGCTCTGCTCCCGCTGCCCAGAGCCAGTGGCCTCGAGGTGAGCGAGGCTGCCTGTCCCCACAGGTATGTGGTGCTCTTCAACCCCCTGGATCAGGAGCGGTTCAGCGTGGTGTCCCTGCTGGTCAGCTCGCCCCGAGTGCGTGTTCTTTCGGAGGACGGTCAGCCGCTGGCCGTGCAGATCAGCGCACACTGGAGCTCTGCCACCAACACGGTCGCCGATGTCTACCAGGTGAGTGAGGGCCCAGGACGTGGGCTCCAGCCCTCCGTGCTGACCCGGGGCCCCTCCCCGGGGCCTCACTCCACCTGGGACACAGGCCTCCCACCCTCCTGCTTCCTGCCTAGGTTGGGGGCAGGGGACCCAGAGGACAGTCACTCCTGGGACTTGAGTCCGTGCTCCAAAGGAAGGGGAATTTTAGTGGGGTAGGAAAGCAAAAATGGGGACTAGGTTGCCTTGTCATGAGCTTCCTGTTTCATAGTTTCTCAGTTACCATATGAGACTCCTGAAAGTCTGACTAGAGGCAAGTGACGTCTCCTCGACATTCAGAGACGGCGGTGGGGGGACAGAGGACCCCCCCCAGGTATGGGCATTTGCTCAGCCTTTCTCAATGAAGAAATAAATGCCCTGGGACTAGACTCCCAGGCCTGCACCCAGAATGGGTGCCCACGCAGTGGGCTGTACTTCCTCACCCCTGCCTTCCTCACTGCTCCCTTCCTTACCCCTCCCGCGCTGGCAGGTGTCTGTGCCCATCCGCCTGCCGGCCCTAGGCCTCGGCGTGCTGCAGCTGCAGCTGGGCCTGGACGGGCCCCGCACCCTGCCGGCCTCCGTGCGCATCTACCTGCACGGCCGGCAGCTGTCAGTCAGCAGGCAGGACGCGTTTCCCCTGCGCGTCATCGACTCTGGCGCCAGTGACTTTGCCCTCAGCAACCGCTACATGCAGGTCTGGTTCTCAGGCCTCACCGGGCTCCTCAAGGTAAAGAGCCAGGGCTCAGGGCTGAGGAGGGCCTGCCTGGCGGGGGCGGGGGTGCTGAGCTGCCGCATGACTGTTGGGGGCCGCGGAGTGGGCCTTCTCGGCTCCTGAACGGCGGGAGGGGGTGGCGTGGGGAAGCTGGGCTGGCTCCTTGGGGAAGTTCGTCCGTGCCCTCCCAGGGGGCAGGCCTGACATGCTGGTGTGGGGCCAGGGGTCAGGGCTGTGTTCTTTGGCAGAGCGTCCGAAGGGTGGACGAGGAGCAGGAGCAGCGGGTGAACATGGAGTTCCTCATCTATGGCACCCGTGCGTCCAAGGACAAGAGTGGAGCCTACCTCTTCTTGCCTGATGGGGAGGCCCAGGTAACCCTAAGACTGCTCAAAAATCCGGGGGTTCAAGGAGCCCAGTGAACCAAGGCAGCGGGTGGGATGTGGCCACAGGCCTCCTTCCAGGGTCGTCCCTGCCTGCCGGGGGCCCGGCCTCGGCTGCCTCTGGGAGTTGGGGGCTCCAAGGAGCGGCTGGGGCCTTGGGCCAGCTCAGCCGGGGCTCTCAGGCCGGAGTCTGCTGGAAACAAGTACTTCTGGCAGCGCTGGGCCAGTACCTCCCCGCTCTGCCCTCTGTGCTGTGGCTTTAGCTGCCTTCTGCCCTGTCCGCAGCCCTACGTCCCCAAGGATCCCCCTCTGCTGCGTGTCACCGAAGGCCCTTTCTTCTCGGAGGTGGTTGCCTACTATGAGCATGTCCGCCAGGTGGTCCGGCTTTATAATCTGCCAGGTGAGCTCAGCCGACGAGGAAGGTCAGAAGGAAGGTCAGGGCTGCACCAGCTAGGCCACACTCTGCCTTCTGCCTGTTCTCTGCTCACACGTCTGTTTTCAACAAACGTATCGTTTGAGACGAGAAGGACGTTAGTTCTCTTGCGGGGAACGTCCTGCAGAAATGCTGGGAGTAGCTGGCGGGGTGGGCACAGCCTCCCCCAGCCCGTCTCTCAGGCCTGTCCACACTCTCCCTTTGTCCTTCTGCCCAGGGGTGGAGGGGCTGTCTCTGGACATGTCATCCCTCGTGGACATCCGCGACTACGTCAACCAGGAGCTGGCCCTGCGCTTCCACACGGACATTGACAGCCAGGGTGCCTTCTTCACGGACCTCAACGGCTTTCAGGTGATTCCCGGGACCCTGAGAGCATTCGGCCCTGGTGGAGGAAGAGGAATCTGAGGCGAGAATGATCGGGGCCCCTTCAGACTGGGGTCCCCTGGGGCCCAGAGGGTGCCCAGATGCCCTTGATCAGCTGGCCTTGCCCTCCCAGGTGCAGCCCCGGCGCTATCTGAAGAAGTTGCCCCTGCAGGCCAACTTCTACCCCATGCCGGTCATGGCCTACATCCAGGACGCCCGCGACCGCCTCACGCTGCACACTGCCCAGGCCCTGGGGGTCTCGAGCCTACACGATGGTGAGTGGGGAGCCCAGCTACGTCGAGGGTGGAGGACGAGGCAGAGCCCCATCTGTGCCCCAGGGCCTCCTCTCAGCAGGCCCCACCCCTGTGGTCCGCATCACCTCCAAGCTTGGAGAACATTCACAGCGCCTGTCAGTAGCACGGGCACGGCAGGAAGGCAGACGCCGGCTGTCACCCTCCTAGTGGAGGCCATGGAGGTGACCTGGGGATGGGGTCCTGTTGGGTCCTTTTAAGAAGCACCAGGGTATTGAACAGCGATTCTCAACTGGCCAGGGATGGAGGTGGGACAGCTGGAAAAGTGCATTTGATGTTATAATGAAGTATTTAACGGGCGCCTGGGTGGCTCAGTTAGTTAAACGTATAACTCTTTATTTCGGCTCACGTCATGACTGTGGGGCTGTGGGATCGAGCCCGATGTAGGGCTCCATGTTGGGCATGGAGGCTGCTCAAGATTCTCTCTCTCCCTCTCCCAGCTTCTTGCTCACTTGTGGAAAAAAAAAAGATATTTTTAATTTTTAAAAAATTGAGCAAAGAAGAAAAGGATATACTGTTTTCCTACTAACAGTCATTAAAAGAGAGAATTGTTGTTCTTGAAAATTGAAACAAAGCCAGGAGGAGTACCGGGCCAGAGCTGGGCCATGCCAGGCAAGCTGAGGTGGCTCCATGTCCTCAGGGTAAAAAGAACAGTTTGCACTTGGCCTCTGAGGCCTTCCGACTTTCTGGGTTTGGGATGGAGCCTTTGTGTAGGGCTGAGCTGAGAGTGCCCAGTCCAGGCTGTGCTGGGGGCCAGTGGCCGGGGCCGTGGAGGCCTGACCCACTGCTGAAGGAGTGTGGCTCTGCTCCCCCTTCACCCGGGATCACCCCACTGTCAGACTGTGCCCAGCTCTGTCTGCACCATTGGCTGCTAGCTGAGCCCAGTGTCCCCCCTGCCTTGGTTCTTTCTGCCCTTTTGGGAAACAGTGTGTTCAGAGATTATTTTTTATGTGTTTGATTTTTAAAGATTTTGTTGGTTTACTTGAGAGAGAGAGCATGAGCAGAGGGCAGAGGGAGAAGCAGACTCCCCCCTGCTGAGCAGGGAGCCCAATGCAGGACTTGATCCCAGGACCCCAAGATCAAGACCCAAGCCAAAGGCAGACACTTAACGGACTAGGCACCCAGGTGCCCTGAGATTATCATTTTTTACCCTGAGCAACCTTTTCTGGAAAGATATCCAGAAGTCCTAAAATGGACCCGTGCGTATAAAAGACTTAGAAACTAGAGCAGTCAGAATTGGGCTGGGGAGAGGGTTAGGGGCCCCTGAGTAGACTCTACCTCAGGAGATTCTTTAAAAAAGCAGGTGCTGGGAAAACCCCACACTCCGACATACGTCAGCTTTGCAGGGAGCCCCTTCCCCGAGCGTGTTTTACAAAGAAAGCCTTGGCGCTCCTCTGCCATCCCTTCTCCCCAGGGCAACCCAAAATGATACCTAATTTGAGCCTGTGTCTGATTTGCCATCTGCCTGTCCCCTGTGCCCTCCTTGTGACAGACGAGGCAGCTGAGCTGGAGTCCAGCCCAGTGTAGAGCAGGGGCGGGGCGGGCGCGTGTTCCAGTCGCAACAAAGTCTGCCCAGGGTGCCCGGCTTCGGGCCTGCGCAGGAAGCTCTGTGGGCCGCCCTGAGCCCTTCTGTTCGCTTGTTCACTTCGTTGACGTGGCCAGTCCAGATAGGGTCCCCAGCCTGAGGCACAGGGCCCGCCTGCCCGCTCTGGGCCGCTTGCTTCTTCTTCTGGGACAATGGCCCTCACTCAGCCCCCTTCGAGCCTCAGCTCCCACGGCTCTGCCTCTGTTCGGTGACTCCTCGTCGGGAGAGCTCACCAGGCGGGTCCCCCAGGGCCCGTGGTTGGGATTCTCCTTCCAAAGCCCAGTATCTGCGTGGGGGTGGGGGGTCACAGGACCGTGGCTCACAGTTAGCGTCCCCAGGCCAGCTGGAAGTGATCCTGGACCGACGGCTCATGCAGGATGACAACCGGGGTCTGGGTCAAGGGCTCAAGGACAACAAGAGAACCTGCAACCATTTCCGCCTCCTGCTGGAGCGGCGAAGCCTGGGCAGTGAGGTAAATTCCGGGCCTCCCTCCCCGGGAGCCAGGTCAGGCTGGTCCTTGGGCGGCAGAGCTAGAGGCGGGCGAGGGGTAGTGAGAGTAGGGCTCTTCCGGGGGTGCGGGGAGTGAGCCTGATGCTCTGCCAGGCAGCCTGGCACTTCCGTCTCCCACAGCATCTCCCGCCTTCCTCTGTGCCCCCGGCCCCCACCGTGTCCTCTAGCCCTCTCTGCTGCAGCCCCGTGCATCTCACGGCTTTCTTTGCCCCCACCAGCCTGGCTTTTTCTCCAAACTGGCAGCCATGTTTAGGGACTTGGTCTTTCACAGCAGAAGGAGCGGTGACCTCGAGGTAAGGGCTAGCGATGGGGTGTCGGACTAGTGGTAGCGAGTTGTGCCTGGACGTGGCACCTGCGGATGACAGAGCCTGCCACTCAGTCCCCTGAGGCCGTGGCTCAGTCCTCACTCACTACGGAGATCCTGAGCTCTTGTGCTGTAGGCCTGAGGGGGACACAAACATCCGCGTTCCTCACCCCACCCCGCTCTCTAGGACTTCGCTTGGGGGCGGGGGTTGGGGGCAAGCTCTGTGTGTAAAATGAAGGTAGAAATCTGCCCCCTGGTGCTGAGGAGGGAGAGAACATCATGTGCCAAGGCCACGGAGGACAGCTTCCAGGTGCGCGTCGGCCAAGCACAGTTGTGACGAGTGGGGTCTGATCTGATCCCGTGAACCGCGGCACAGGGCGGAAGGCAGGAGAGACCGCGCAAACGGGCAGCAGCCCTGCCTGGAGCTGCCTGTCCAGTGCGGTAGCTGCTAGCCACGCGTGGTTATTTAAGTTAATTAAAACTAAATACGATCGAAATTTAGTTCTTCATTCGTACCAGTCACGCTTCAAGCATCCCATGGTCACATGTGGCTGGCAGCTACTTTGTTGTCCAGCGCAGGTATAGTGTGTTTCCGTCGTGGCAGAAAGTTCTAGTGGCCGTTTCTGGGCTAGCAAGACATTGGGGGTCATTTGGGGCAGACTGTCATGGGCCTGGACCGGCTGGAAGAAGAGCCTGGATTTTGACTGGAGGCCCAGGAGGGGCCCAAGCAGGCAGGCTCGGCCCTAAACTGTCGCTCTAACAGCTGGAGTAGTGAGCAGTGCATCTCCAGGGAGGCTGGAGGCAGGTGTTGGTGTAAAGGCTGTTGAAGCAGGAGATGTCAGTGGCTCAATACTGAGCTACGGGAGAGAGCTTGTGGGTTGGCGGGGGAACGGAGGTCAGGGGAAGGGGAAGTTAGAGATTCTGGGCGACGGGTAGGAGGGTAATGCTAGGACAGAAATCCAGAACACGGACAAGTAGCCACCTCAGAGGAAGTCCAGGTCAGCCATCTTAGCAGCTGTCCTCGGTGGGCTCAGCTGTGGGGGCTCCTGGGCCTGAGGACCGGGGCTGGTGCTATGGACGTGGGGCTGTACCCAAACCTCAGGATCGCTCGAGTATGCCCTCCATCTGCATGAAGCACACGTCTGTCTTTCCCATTCTCTTCCCCACTCTGAGAATCTCGGTGATGGGAGATGGTGCTTGGGGTATGGGGTGTGTGCTTGTTGTAATGTCACAGAAGCAAACCCCCCAGAAAAAGTCGAGGAGAGAGGGCCTAGCAAGTAGTCCTTTCTAGGTTGTGTGAGATGAGATGGAAAGTGTGAAGGCTCCTGGAGCCTCCCAGACACACCGGGGAAGCTCTTCCCAGAGGAACTGACCTGGGCGTGCATTTACCGTCCCCCTCACGCGCATCTCTGGCCAACCTCGCAGGTCCAGGACGGCCGCTCCACCAGCTACCCGTCCCTCCTCAGCCACCTGACCTCCATGTACCTGAACACCCCTGTACTCGCCCTGCCCGTAGCCAAGAGGCAGCTCCCGGGCCCCGGGCTGCGCTCGTTTCATCCCCTGGCCTCCTCTCTGCCCTGTGACTTCCACTTGCTCAACCTGCGTACACTGCAGGCCGAGGTGAGTGTCCCCATCAGGCTCTGGCCTGTTGTGCCCCAGACTCCTCCCCGTCCCGGTCCTGCCTGCTGGGGAGCAGGGCTGCCCCCTCCATGAGCCCTGAGCAGCCCCGACCCCCTACCGCCCCTTGTGTCTTTCACCCAGGACGATGCCTTGCCTTCGGCGGAAACTGCACTCATCCTACACCGCAAGGGTTTCGACTGTGGCCTTGAGGCCAAGAACCTGGGCTTCAACTGCACCACAAGCCAAGGCAAGGTATGGGCCGGAACATGGGGAGGCTGCCGTGAGGTGGGCAGTGAGGATGGGACTGGGGGTGGGGGTCCCTCCAGGGCATTTTGGAGAGAGAGGGAGAAGCTGTCGATGGGTGTTTTCAAAGCAAGCGAGGCTTGGCGGGGCCACGTTCCGGGAGAGACACACAGCTGGAGAACTCGAGCTCTACAAGCAGGGACCACTGTCGCACAAGGTGGAAAGTCCCAGAAGCTCATGCTGCTGCTCTGGGAGCTCTGTTCATGGGTTAAGCTGGCGCTGATACGCGGTTCCATGTGCCACAGTCTGGGCGGGTGCCGGCAGGTCCAGAGTGGACCCCAATGTGGACCCTGCCCTCAAGGAGCTCACGGCTCTGGGCGGTGCTGCCTACCCTGTGGCCCACGGGCAGCCTTCAGAGCCGAGCACACCCCAGGGACCCTCTGAGACGGCACACAGACTCCCACGTGCAGGGAGGTTCCGTGTTGCCTCCGTGTGCTTCTCCAAGAGGTGACAAGGCATATAGAGGAAGAGTGCCCAGCACAGCCCCGTCCCATGTCCCTCTCCACAGGTGGCCCTGGGGAGCCTCTTCCATGGCCTGGACGTGGGGTTCCTGCAGCCGACCTCCTTGACGTTATTGTACCCCTTGGCCTCACCCTCCAACAGCACTGACGTCTATCTGGAGCCCATGGAGATTGCCACCTTTCGCCTCCGCTTGGGCTAGGGCTTCCTGTGGCCTGAGGGGAAAGCGCGTCAGAGACTGCCTCTCACACAAGGTCGGGTTGGGCAAACCGGACGGGTATCCTGTCCCGATCTACCTCTCAGAACTGTGACACGCTGGGCTGCGCCCTCATTTTCTGTTTATCTTTGCTTCTGTGTCCGGGGGCAGCCCCCAAGCCCCGTGTCGGGTAGATAGGGCAGACGCTAGTGAGGTGGTGGCAAGAGGGCCCAGGGTCAGAGCGCGCTGGGCCAGCCTCTGCTTTGGGTTGTGATGGCGCCCAGGTGGGCACAGGCTTAAGTACCCCCCCGCCGTTGTCCCAGAAGGGGATGGAGGAGAGGCAGGGTTGGAACTGGGAGGGGCGGCTGAGTGGGTAGCCGCCCAGCACCGGGGTCACTGCAGTCAGGAGCCGGCTCAAGGGGAACTTTCTGTCTCTGGAAGGACTGCTTGTCTAGATGTGACCAGCAGGAACTGAGTGACGGCTGGGAGGAGGGCAATGGGGACCTGGAGTTAGTGGGGCTGAGGAGGGAGCCCTGCTTTCCGTGATGACTCTACCATAGGTGCTCCCTGGTCTGCACACTCCGGCTCACGGCTGTGGTGTGGCAGGAAGGACTCACGAGACACCATGTCATGGCCAGAGCGCAGAGGACACTTCAGATACCAAACCTCCCCCTCTCATTGCAGGCACTTGGTCTGTATGTTGATGTGTGGTCTGGTGGCAGAGACCTGGGGGGTCCTCCATCCTCCCTCACCCCACTTTGGTTCCTGTACTCTGTACACCACTGTCCTCGGGAGCTCCTGGGGGCATTTAGCCTGGCACACTTCCTTTCCCTAAAAAGAAAGCGAAGCCTCCAGGCGCCCGTGAGTGTGAGCAATTTGAGAAGGCTTTCGGCCCCATTCCTGCGTGGGCAGGGCGGGAGGCGGGGGGGTCTTCCTCTACGGAATCCTGGCATAGGGACTGGGGATACAGAGCGTACACTAGGAGGCATTATGGCTGTTCATGGGCCTTCATTTCAGCTTCGATTCATAGAGAAGAGTTTTTGGTAGTCTCTATAAATGCTGAAACAGTATTTGGTAAAGTTTAAGATCTATCCCTTATTAAAAATCTTAGTAAATTAAGATGACAAAGAGACATCATAATCTAGATTAAAACAGAAATCTCTATCGCAAACCAGCAGTTGGTGACATTCTAAAGAACCACAGGCATTCCCACACAAGTCGGAAGCGAGCCAAAGACGCATCACTCGTTAGTGGTGTCCTGTCACGGTCACCCCCGCGGGAGAGCGGTGAAGGAGAGGAAGGTACAGCTGTCATTATTTGCAGACGACAGCCCGGCCAGCCCATACAGTGTAAGAGAGCCCGCAGGAGACCTGCTAAGACCATTCTGGGAGTGGACACACATGGCAGACACGATGCTCCCGGAAGGATTTCAGTTCTCTCCAAATCAGCCCCTAAGTTCAGTGTGCTCCAGCGCAGTTGGATGCTTTGGGAATTGGATGAGTTCTCAGGTTCATGGAAGAGTAAATATGTGAGAACATTAAACGAATTCTGAATGATGGGGAGTCGGGGGCAGGGAGCGCCGAGGGAGTGAAAGGCACGCGTCCTGAGCCACCCCCCCAAGGCCTCTCAGGTTTCCAGGAGTGGCCCCTGTGACCTGGAGTGGGCTCAGACTGACAGACTCCTGGAACAACAGGCAGAGTCCCGGAGCAGACCCCCAGGGAGACAGGAACTTAGTAGGATAAAAGGAGTATTTGAAGTGGGGGAAAAAGATGGCTTGTTTAATAAATAGAACTTTAAGACAAGTGGCCTTCAAAGTAAGAGATCTGTAGCTCACAGTTGCCACGACAATTAGATCCAGAGGGAAGAAACTAGAAAAGTTCAACTGCAAAATTACTGAAGGAAATACAGGAGATTATTATATCTGTGGTGTGGGAGGCTCTGTTTTAAACATAACATGAAACCTAAAAGATCTAATGAGGGAAATAATAATAAGGTTTGACCACCCCAAGAAATTGAAAGTGTATGTATGATGGAGAACATTGTGGTTCCAACACAAATGAGACTGGAAGAAAAATGTTTGCAGCCTTTCCAATATTGATGAGTTAATTACTACAGGAGAAAAGCTTGCTTTGGGGTCCTTGGAGAGGGTCCCCTGGGCCTGCTTAGCAGCTCCCCAAACATCCAGAATTCTTCCGGATCACCCGGGGCTGTTGTCGCCAGCATCGGGCCAGGGCACGTGGAATGCTAAGTCACAGCAGAAGAAATGAGATTACCAGGTGAGGTGCTCAGCACAGAGGACCCGGTACACAGAGGAGCTCAATAAATAGAAGCGGTGATCTTATTAGTAATGCCAAGTAGTTATATCACAGCAGGTGGTATCTGCTAGTATCCTATGACTTGTAATCAAACGATAAGGGAGACTCTGTGAACCCCCCCCCCAGGAAATGAGCAGAATAAAGGCTATTTATTACATCTGAAGGTCTTAGATTTTCCATGGAGTTATTCATCTGCCTGGAACAATGTTTAATCCTGCACACTGGCCTTTTAAAACCACTCCAGGCAGCATAGTTCAAGGTGAGGTCCACATCACCAGGAGTGTTTTTTTCCGGTCCAGCTTTGGAGCCTGTCCTGGTGAGGGGTGCCCCTGAGCCTGGACGTGGGGACAAGGGCCCGTGGAGCGGAGACAGAGACTTACTGGGACTGCCCTACAACTGGGAGTAGCACTCAAAAGAATCTGCATTTTTAACAAGCTTCCAGGTGATTCTCTTGCATACAGTAGTACAGAAATGGGCCTTTGATTTTAAGGCAAACTGCAGTCCTTCACCATGGAGCCCTGACACTGAGGCCTCTGTTCTGAGGGTGATAATCAGAATTAGAACAAGGACATGACATGCAAGCAATGTCAGCCCCTGGTACTAGAATTCTCTTCCTCCCGGCACCCCTCCTGCCACTTACAACTACCCCACCTCCAAGAAGAAAGGAACCCTGGGAAGGTGGGTTGAAACCAAGAAACAAGTCCTCCTGTGCAGGCTGAACCAGGCACGGACTGCGCTGACCCAGCTTCCCTAGGGGGTGGGCTGAGAGACCCTTGGAAGAACGGCATCTCAGCAGAAGCTTGCCTGCCTCCCCCACTGTCACCGCGGCTGGCTAACCGCACCCAAGCCCTCACGGAGGAGGAGAGAAGCACAGTCTGGGTGGTGGGAATGAGGCTCCCTGCCCAAAATCAAGATCTCTTGTTTTTCACTAGCGAAAATTCGTCCACATAAACACTGCGGAGGGGCAGTACTCATAGCAAGAACAGGTGAGAGAGGAGGAGGCCAGATCCTTCAAAACAAACCTCAATTTCACTTGGGGTCTGTGGGAAATCTGTTCAGAACTTCTTAGTGGCTACTGGGACCGAGCAGATCTGCAGAGTCCCATCCAGTCTGGGTCCTGACTTTGGACCCCCCGATCGAGGTAAGCCTGAACTGAAAGTGAACTCTGGGCACAGGAGACCTGGAGCGGTGGGAGGTGAGGACTTCCCAGCGCTTGGGACGTGCGACAGCGTTGAAGATTTAAAAACCAGCGCTGAGTGTGGAAGCCTCGAGGAGCTCACTCGGGGGTGGGGGAGTCGGGTTTCCCTGGCGGGGAGCCCAGGGGCCTGCACTGGAACCGGTCGCGTGAGCATACCCGCACGGCTACCTCCTCAACCCTGGATGCCTCGGGATGGTGAGAGGTTAACAATGCAAGAGCCTCATCCTCCTAAGACTGGAGGCGCTCTCCTCTGACCCAGGACAGAGAGAACGGTGACGGCCTGAGCAGCTGGGAGGCTGCGTGGCTCAAGGGAAAAGCAGTGGCTGGGAGCCCTCCAAGCCCGAGTGGCACACACAGGTGACAGAGAGTGACCAAGGGGCCAGAGCCAGGCCAAGCAAGGAGCACAGGATGAGAAAGCGAAGAGACTGTGAGGAAAAATGTGACAAAATATAAGCAGCCCCCCAAAATATTTTATTGAAATAGACTCTACGCGTGGCAGAAACACCAGATTTGGTGCAGATGACACACTTGTGCATTTGGAAAACTGAACTGAGGAATCCCTCGAACCCACCACCGAGGTAAAAGGAAAATATAAAAGAAGTTAAGAAATATGGCAGATAGGGGTGCCTGTGTGGCTCAGCTGGTTGAGGAAACTCTTAGTTTTGGCTCAGGTCACGGTCTCAGTCAGGGTCGTGAGATCGAACCCTGTGTCGGGCTCCACACCTGGTGGGGAGCCTGCCCAAGATTTGCTCTCCCTCTGCCCCAACCCCTACCCCCTAGCTCCCGTGTTCTCTCTCAAATACAAAGAAAGAAGAGGGGCACCTGGGTGGCTCAGTGGGTTAAGCCTCTGCCTTCAGCCCAGGTCATGATCTCAGGGTCCTGGGATCGAGCCCCACATCAGGCTCTCTGCTGTGGGGAGCCTGCTTCCTCCTCTCTCTCTCTGCCTGCTGCTCTGCCTACTTGTGATCTCTCTCCCTCTGTCAAATAAATAAATAAAATCTTAAAAAAAAAAAAAGAAGAAAAGGCAGATAGACTTGGGAGCAATGACATAGCATTTAGCAGCACTTTTAGGAGAGACTGGTGAGTAGGGAAGAGGAAACCGTCAAAAGGATAGCAGGTGCATTCTTCAGAAACGAAGATATGTGGGAGTCCTTAAATGGAAGCACTCACCAAGTTCCAAGAAAGGGATGTTTAAAAAAAAAAAAATCCTCCTGTACACATACTGCAAAAAAACAAAAACAAAAAAACCCCTACAAATCAACAAGAGAAACCAAAAGGAAAGACCACCGGAACGCTGGCAGACATCTAGTTAGCATCATAGATCCCTGGAGTCCATGAAATAATGCCTTCAGACTTAGGGAACATGACTGCCAAGCCGGTATCTGGTGGCAGGTGCACTCCTGTTCAGAGGGAGGGAGAAATGGCCTAAACACGCAAAGGCTAAGAGTTTGCAGTGTGCACAACTTCAATGGGAGAACAAAGGTGTTCTTCGGGAAAAGCGAAAATCCAGGATGCATAAGCCAGTGGTGGGTATACCTCTTGATCTTAGGGTTGTGAGTTCAAGCCCCACATTGGGCACAGAGCTTAAATAATTTTTTTTTAAGAGAATGTGTAGGGACGCCTCGGTGGCTCAGTTAAGCGTCTGCCTTCAGCTCAGATCATCATCCCAGGGTCCTGGCATCAAGTCCCGCATCGGGCTCCCTGCTCAATGGGGAGCCTGCTTCTCCTCTGCTCTGCCTGCTGCTCCCCGTGCTTGTGTGCTCACTCACTCCCTCTCTGACAAATAGATAATAAAAAAGGGAATGCATAAAGAAATACTGTCCATTCACATAATGAAATACTAGAAAGTTGTTTAAAGGAATGAGCTAAACACTCATGTGCATTGACATGAATAGATCTCAAAAGCATTGCTAAAGGAAAAGAAAGGTACTGGGGCACCTGGCTGGCTCAGTCAGTAAAGCATGCAACTCCTGATTTTGGAGCCCCACGTTAGGTGTAGAGATGATTTAAGTTAAAAAAAAAAAAGTAAACTTACAGAGTGACACATACTTAGGACAAAATACTAAGTGCTATAAGGACAGTCTTTTCAATAAATGGTGTTGAGAAAATTGGATATCCACATACAAAAGAACTAAGTTGGAAGCTTATCTTATACCTCACACAAAAATTGAAATGGATCAAAGATCCAAATGTGACAACTAAAACTATGAAACTCTGAAGAAAACAGGAGGAAATCATGATGTAGTGGCAACGATTTCTTAGATATAACACCAAAAGCAATAATCCTTCTGGAAAGGAGTCACCATTCTAGATCCCATTAAGATACTCATGCTTTGTGTAAAGAAATAAAAAGAGCAACATTAGCAGGATTCCAATTCGGAAAAGTTGATTCCTATCCCGATGGATGACTTTGAGGGGTTCATGATGTCCGTGGAGAAAGTCACTGCAGATATGGTGGAAACAGCAAAAGAACTAGGATTAGATGTGGAGCCTGGGGACCCCTGAGTGGCTCAGTCTGTTAAGAGGCTGCCTTCGGGGGCACCTGGGTGGCTCAGTGGGTTAAGCCGCTGCCTTCGGCTCGGGTCATGATCTCAGGGTCCTGGGATCGAGTCCCACGTCGGGCTCTCTGCTCAGCAGGGAGCCTGGTTCCCTCCCTCTCTCTCTCTCTCTCTCTGCCTGCCTCTCTGTCTACTTGTGATCTCTCTCTGTCAAATAAATACAATCTTTAAAAAAAAAAAAAAAAAGAGGCTGCCTTCAACTCAGGTCATGATCCCAGGGTCCTTGGATTGAGTCCTACATTGGGCTCCTTGCTTGGCAGGGACCCTGCTTCTCCCTCTCCTCCTCCCCCTGCTCTTTCACTCTCTCTCTCTCTTTCATAAGTAAAATCTTTTTTTTTTTTAAAGTGGAGCCCGCAGATGGGACTGAAATGCTGCAATCTCATGATTAAACTTGAGGGGATGAGGAGTTGCTTCTTGTGGATGAGCAAAATGGTTTCTTGAGATGAAGTCTACTGGTGAAGATACTATGAAGATTGTTGAAATGACAACAAAGGATTTACAATATTACAGAAACTTGGATTGACTCCCATTTTAAAAGAAGTTCTACTGAGTGTGGCTGAGTTGGGGAGGCACGTGACTTTTGATCTTGGGGCTAAGTTTGAGCCCCATTTTGGGTATAGAGATGACTTAAGAGAAGTTCTAGGGGGGCCTGGGTGGCTCAGCTGGTTGAGTGTCCAACTCTTGATCTTAGCCCAGGTCTTGATCTCAGGGTTGTGAGTTCAAGCCCTGCTTTGGCACTGGGGGCCATGCTAGGTGTGTAGCCTACTTAAAAAAAAAAAAAAAGTTTAAGTTCTGCTGTAGGTAAAATGCTATCAGACAGCCTTGCTCACTACAGAAAAATGTGAGCAGAAGAGCACTCACTAGTGAGTGAAAGAGCAGAAGAATCACTCACTAGTGAGTGAAAAGAGTCAATCAATGTGGCAAACTAAATTATCAAGAAATGGCCACAGCTCCTCCACCTTCAGCAACCACCACCCCGATCCGTCAGCAGCCATCAAGGGAGGCAAGATCCTCCACCAGCCAAAAGATCACCACTCACCGAAAGCTCAAAAGATGATTAGTATTTTTTTTTTTTTTTGCAATAGAGTATTTTTAAATTAAGGTACATAATGCTGTTGCACACTTAGCACACTACAGAACAGTGTAAACATACTTACATACACTGGGAAACCAGGAAGTTTCACTTGACCCGCTTTATTGTGATATCCCCTTTATTGTCGCAGTCTGGAACTGAACCTGCAGTATCTTGGAGTTATGCCTGTAATCTCAGATGGTTTCAGGGGAAAAAGTTCCTTATTCTGTAATTTCACAACTTTTAAGTTTCTGATTGTTTAAAAATATATATTGAGTTAAGGGCACCTGCGTGGCTCAGTCCATTAAGTGTCGTACTCTCAATTTTGACTCAGGTCCTGATCTCATGGGTTGTGAAACTGAGCCTGCGTCAGGCTCCCCTCTCACCGGGGAGTCTGCTTAGACGTTATGCCCTTTCTCCTGCTTGTACTCTCCCTCTCACTGTCTCAAATAAAACTTTTTTTTTTTTTTAAGGTTTATTTATGAGAGAGAGAGATGGTGAGAGAGGGAGCACAAGCATAGGGGAGCTGGAGTGGGAGAGGCAGGCTCCCCGCTGAGCAAGAAGCCAGACAGGGGGCTGGATCCCAGGACACCAGGATCATGACCTGGAGCCAAGGGCAGACACCTAATGACTGAGCCACCCAGGCGTTCCTCTCAGATAAAATCTTTTTTTTTTTTTAAAGGTAAATAAAAATTTTAAAGGCCCAATAGTGTGGTAAAAAAGGAACTTGTCCTTACTCTGTCATTGCCCCATCTGTTTGGCCATTAACAAGTCTTTTCACCTCCCTGAGCTTCATGTTTTGTCTCTGTAAAATGAGAATATCCCTTCCCAGCACTGCCTTATCTGGTTATTATACAGAACAGAGGAAGTAACACCTATGAAAAGGTTTTTTTTGTACAACATTGAGCACCCTGTGAGACAAATACCCCTGCATTCTGTAAGTAATGGAATTTTTATTAAATGTCCTGAAACCTTCATTTTAAGCCACTTAAAATCTGCAGATTACATATTTTGATATTAAATATATAAACTGCAGGTTTCGCATATATAAATTAATAGTATAGTAATAAATATACTATCAATAAAGTACTACTATACTATTAATAAATTATTGATTTACTAGCATTATTTATATAGAAGTATATCTGTAAGTATATATATTTAAGTGTAAGGAATAAAGTTTTTAAAACTCCTGTAATTCTGCCTCCCCCAAGTAATTTATTAAACTAAAACCAAAATTCTCCAAAACACACCTCGTCCAGGCCTGCCTTAGAGGATTACACTGAATTTTTTCACTTTCCTGATCCGTTTACGTGTGACTACCCTGAACCTCATTTCCTTTTAAGTCGCCTTCTTGCGGCCCTTCACCATTTTTTCCTGCAGAAACTGCACGGGAGCCTTCTTTGGGCAAATAACCACCGTGGCTTAGCGCGAAATGGCCTTCGACCTAACCACTTCCTCCTTCCCCAGGTGTGCCCTTTCCAAGGGGCTAATAACTCTCAGTGGCTATCGGCGACCAGAAATCCGTCACCTTTAGACCGCCGCGCATCCACGCCACGGAGACGGGAGCCGCCTCTCCCAGACCCCGCCCACCACAGGCCTCCGCGCGTGGGGCCGCCTCGGGGCCACTTCCGGAGACGGCCGGAAGTCCGCGTCTCTTAGTAACCAAAGGACCCGGCGTGTTGGGGCTGAGATCTGGGATGGGCTGCGAATGGCGGCGAGTTTCTGGGGCGGTCTGGGATGTGAGGGACTCGCAGCACCCCCACGGGCCCTGTCCTGTTGTTGCTGGTAAGCAGGTGGCATTCCTTTCCAAAACATCTGTCATTCCGTCCAACTTTTTTCCTTTTTTCACCAACCTTCTTAAAGGAGGAAGACTGTTACCATTTCTTGAACACCTTCGTGTCAGGCTCCGTCTGACACGTGACCTAGTCTAACCCTAGTAATTACACAGCCTATCTCACTAATAAGGAAGCCAGGCTGGGGGGGAGGGGTCGGGGCCCTGACCTGTCCCTGGGGGCACGCAGTCGGTTCCCTGCCTCGTCCAAGGACAGGTATCCCGCCTACCTGCTCGCCTACCTGCTCCCTATTCGGCAGGCTGGGGAAGGAGCAGCGAGAACTTAAAACTTCACCCAAAATGCTTTATTTTTACATAATGACTTATGAACTAGTGTTTATGGAAGCCCAAGTCCCTGAGGGGCCAGAGTTCACATACAGAATAGCAAACAGACCGGAGCCTGGAGAAAGGGCAGTAAGTGCATTAGGATCGGACGGGCTCCATCTGATTTCCACAATTTCCACAGGGCTCAGCTGAGTCGGCAGGACACATTCAGAGTGAGAAGACGCAAGTGTCTCTTGGCCTCTTGTATCGGGGCTGAACCAGTCAGGGAGGGAGATGGAGAGGCACCGAAAGGCAGGAACAGGAAATCTTTCTGGCCTGGCCAAGGCTGGAGTTTGGGCCCCTGATGGCTCCAAGCACCACTCAGAGCATCAGCCCCCGCTCCTTAAACAGCTGCTTTAGAGCGTCTTCCAGCTGTCGGTTTGTTCCCTGAAGCCCCTTCACCACTTGCGCTGCCCACTCGAAGTATTCCTGGACTCTATGTTCAGACCATCCTGCATGAGAATGGACAGAAAAGTGCTCACATGGCATCCAGGAGAGCACTGCCTTCTGCCCACTTCCTGGAGGGCTTGCTGCAGGGCCACGAGATGAGCTCCCGCTGGGATTTGTCCTGAAAACGTCCCCTTGACCCAGCTGTTGCACTTCCACGGTGCGCAAGATCAGAGTGGGCTAGTAGGATTAGCTGGGGGAACCAACTAGAAGGCCCAGGCTCTTCCCCCACTCCCCCGGGAACTAACCAACCTGTGCCTCCAGAAGGTGGACACCTCCCCCCTTCCCCCCAGAGCAGGTGGGGGAGCGTACCCTCTGGGGTGCAGCGATTCAGGTCCCTCAGGTTGTACAGCTTGTCTGCCAGCTTCACCAGTTTGGCCCCGGGGCTGCTGTGGGGTGCGCGCTCCACCTGCAGCCGCTTTCTCTCCAGCTTGGGCACAGTCTTGTCATCTGTCACCTCCTCCACCAGCCGCCGCACTTGCGCCCCAAAGTGCCGCTCCACCTCATCCAAGCTGGTGTCTGTGTCCTCCACTGTGTCATGGAGCAGGGCTGCCTGGGGACAGGCTTCCCCTTAGTCCTGTGACCCCAGGCAAGGGCTGCCCAGGGCCGAATGGGGTGCCTGATCCCCACCCTAGCCTCCGAGGAGAGAACGAGGGGAGTTACCTGTAACACCGCAATGTCAGTGATTCCCGCCTCATGGGTCAGGATCCGAGCAACACCTGACGGGGCAAAGCAGGAAGTCAGACCTGAGGGAGCCCCAGGCTGCGTGCTGCGGGTTTTGCAGAGCCAGATGTGGCCTCTCACTAGCCAGAGGACCTTTACTCTTTTTAAGTGTCATCTGTGCAGAGGAACAATCATGCCTACCGTCCCGCGTTGCTGCGAGGCTTAAACACGAAAAGTGCCCGGCACAAAGCCCGGTACAATGTAGGTACTCAATGAGGCGTAGGCCCTCCGCGATCCCTTCCCGGTCCCCACCCCCTAGACACCGCTGCGGTTGCTCCCCGGGCGGTGCGCCCACCGATAGGGTGGTTGATGTAGGGGGTCCCTTCGGGGTCCTTCCGCCGCTGCAGTCGGTGCTTGCGAGCCGCGAAGTCCGCAGCCTCTACCAGCTGCGCCGCCTCGGAGCCCATTGCGCGGGCGGGGCGGGCAACTGACGTCCCAGGAGCCCCTTGAACCCAGACAGAGCGTCCACAGCGCCCCCTGGCGCCGCGGAGGCCGGTGACTGTGGAGTCCGACCCAGACAGGCTGGTTTCTGGGGAGGTGACATCCTGGCGGAGAGACCAGCTGGTGAGGGGAGCTGCTCCGCTGGGGGTGCAAGAGGGACATGGCCGGCCTCTCTGAGAACCCACAGTCTCGGCGAAGGAGGAAGACAAACAAGAAATAAGACGGTGTTCTCACAGGGTGCCGGATCCGGGGCAGAAACACACAGGGCACTATGTGGCCTTGAAGGAAGGGCAATTCACCTGGCCTCCTAGGGTCAAAGGCAACGTCCTCCAGAAGGATCCTCTCGTCCTGTGAAAAGACAATCTTCAATGTCAATGTTCTGAAAATTCTCAAAGTGCTCTAAAAATGGTTTTCCCTGCAGGGAGGAACTGGTCGGGATGGGTGTGGGAGCCTCACCTTTGGGCCCAGAAGACCCTACAGCCTGACTCTCTGGAAACTGGAACTTACACTAGCAGCCTGCCTAACTGCTTCAGGGTTAGACTCCCAGGCAGCAGTGATGTTTCTGCGAGAACTGTCTTCTTTGTTCTCGGGTGCTGCATTTCTTTCTTGTACCATCAGTGTTCCTGCTTCAGTCCCTAGACACCTGCTGTGCACCCCTCAGATGATAACTGCTGTCATGCTGTTCTGGGAGCATGACATCGTCAGGTCTTCACAGACTCTGGAATAACAGCACTGCTGGCTGGTGGCCTTGGGCCTTCTAGAGAAAATCCCTGTCTCAGCAGATGGCTGCTATGAGGTTTAAGGGTAAGAGAGAACTAGAGACCCTGGAAGAGCTTTTCCTGTGAACTGGTTTGCGAAGTACAGTACTCCAATCAGACTGGTAGCTTCTCTGTTTCAGTTGGTAGCTGGGGCAGACAAGGGCTCAAGGGAAAAGCTAATGGAAGGACTCGCCCTTGTTTTGCAGCTAGTCTTAGTGGTTGCCATGATGCAGAAGTTAGGGAGGGAAGCTCCAAACGCTGTAACCAAGGCCCCTGGGGCCCGAAATGGGACGACCAGAATTCTCAGGGCTTCCACAGAGGCCTGGAAATTGAGAGTGGGTAGAGAGAAACATATCTGGCTTTATCTCTTTTTCAGCCTAATGGTTCCACTTCCCTCTCATGCCTCATTCTGAGCTCCAGTTTTCTGAAACTTTTCCCCTTCAGTTCAGAAAACTTTAGGCAGCTGGAGACACAGTCCCCACGTTTTCCAACAGAATATAGAACCTCAGTCACTTTCGCCTCCAGAGGTCTGTGATAGAAGCTTCAGGTTGGTGTTCATGGCGCCCAGGGGCCTTGTGGTTTTGATTTTTATTTTCCTACTGTCTGTAGCCATGGCTTAGAAAGAGAGATGCTGGGCTTCCTAAGATCAGCGCTCAGGTGGATGTGACCTCTCATGGGCTTTCAAAGGAGGCTAGGCCTTTTGCTGACTGGCCTGACCGCGGGGCTGCTGCTGCTCTTCAGCTGGGCGACGCTTGTTCAGCCGACCTCTCTCTCAGGTACCCAGTCTCCTCTGCACGCACCCCTCTTCAGGCCCCTACCAGCTCAGCAGGGTATGAGCTGCTCTGGGGAGTGAGTGGGGAGGAAGGGAGTCTGCCCTTTTGATAAGGGCTGATCATTTTCACTCTCCAGAGGGATGGAATTGGGTGTGGGCAGACCATTCTTGCCAGTCTCCAGCCCCCTTGCTTCCCCCCCTTCAGCTTTGGCCCACCACCCCCACTTGTGCCAGACCACCTGGGATGCTGATGGCCGCCGCTACCCCGGTTTTTTCTGTCCTCGGCTCTCGGATACCCGGGAGGAAGCCTACTGCTGCCACCTGCAGGCTGCAGGGGGCTTCTGCTGCACCCGGGCTGAATTTGAGGCCTTGTACCAGGTCAACCTGTCCGCCCTTCCGCCCCCACCCATCCTCAGGTGAGAACTCCAAGCCCCAGAACCCCCGGAACACTGGCAAACAAGCTCTGTTTTTCATTCCTGGGGCGGGAAGCTTGTAGCATACAGACGAGTGGCGGGGCAGACTTCGTACAGAAAATCGCGTGAATACACAATTACAAACAGTTCTGTGAAAGGAAGTTCAGGGGGCTGTGTAAGCGAGTAAACAGGGAGCCATTGCGTGCACTGTGGGGCCGGGGTCAGGTGGGACAGGTGTCAGATCGAGAGGATCTTGTAGTCCGTGGATTACATCCATTATAGTAGGGGTTTTCAAAACTAAATCTGTCCATGGATGGCTTCATGGCATCTGTGAGCCCCTGAATTTCTATTTACGAATTCTACATTGATCGGGGGAGAGGGGTGTCCCGAGCTTTCTCCGACTCTCAAGGGCTCTGTAACCGACAGGCTGCAGCAGCAAGAACGCGGCTGGGGCCAGCATCCTAATACTCTCCTCTCCTACAGGGGTCGGGGTCCGCTCCTAGCCCTGGGCCTCTATACCCTGCTGCTCGTGGCCCTGATGACCGCCGACCTGGTGCACTTCTGCCGCGGACGGGGCGGGGGCCGGCGCCGGCGTCCCCGCCGGCTTCCCTCTCGGTCCTCCGCTGCGCGCCCCCTGCAGGTCCCAGTGGGAACAGACTAGGATCGGCTGCGCGGATCAGAGCCCCGCCCACCGGCGCGCTCTCGCCTTGCCCCTGCCACTCCTCTGTCCCCGCCTTTGACGCAGGACCGGGGCGGGGCAGCCGACTTCAGATTCCTGAGCCTGGTCCCACTCCGCCCCAGAGACTGCGCCTGCGCGCGCCCTGGACGCCCTCTCCGCGATGACTGTGAGTGGTCCAGGCACCCCCGAGCCCCGGCCGGCTGCCCCCGGGGTGCGTACCGGTCCTCCCGTTCCATCACCACTTCCCACCTGCTCTGAACGTACCCCGGCCTCCTTCTCCCCGTCTTGGCCCTCCATGGGACTTGCCCCCTGCCCCCCGGTCTCTTGTCTCCCAGCTCCCCGAGCCTGGCCTGAGCCCACCCCCAACGTTTCCACCCATTCCCTCCACAGGCCAGTGCGGTGGAGCAGCTGCGGAAGGAGGGCAACGAGCTGTTCAAATGCGGGGACTACGAGGGCGCCCTGACGGCCTACACTCAGGCCCTAGATCTGGGTGCTACGCCCCAGGACCAGGCCATTCTGCACCGAAACCGGGCCGCCTGTCACCTCAAGCTGGTGAGGGAGCCGGCTGCTCTTCCTCTGCCCCTCCTCTGCCCTGCCTGGGCCCGGTTTGACCAGCTTGCTGCTCTTTGGGTCCTGGCTGGGTATTCACCTTCCCAGGCCACCTCCACTTACTTGTCTGATGTCTTTTGGGCCTCCGGGTAGTGGGGACTTGAGTGGCTACTAGAGCACAGCCCTGCTGCCCAGCTAGTGACCTGAAAGGAAGATGACCAGCCTCTCAAGCTGCTGCTCCTTTTCTTACAGGAAGATTACGACAAAGCAGAAACTGAGGCATCCAAAGGTAGGAGACTGTGGGCTGCCGTGTGGAGCTGTGGTGGGCAAGGACTCTGGGGCCACTGCACCTTCACATTTTCCTTTCCCTTTGGCCCCAGAAACACTTCTGCCTTCTCTCTTTCCCACTTCCTCGGGCGTTTCCTTCTCTGCAGCTACCCTCACCTTTTCTGAGGCTGGAATACTGAGTCCCACATCTGTCCCCCCACCTTCCTCGGGCCCTCGAGACCTTTCCCTACTGCTTTTGCCTGGAGACGGTGGCCTCATGGGTGCTGACAGAGCTCCCATTTGTGCTCAGCCATCGAAAAGGACGGAGGAGATGTCAAAGCACTTTACCGGCGCAGCCAAGCTCTAGAGAAGTTGGGCCGCCTTGATCAGGCTGTCCTTGACCTGCAGAGATGTGTGAGCCTGGAACCCAAGAACAAAGTTTTCCAGGAGGCCCTGAGGAACATCGGCGGCCAGATTCAGGAGAAGGTACGTGAATGACTGAGAGAGAGGCTTTGACAGGTGGTAGAGGGACACTGGTAAATGGATCTGGGCAAAGGATGTAAACACAGGAGATACTGATGACAAACAAACTTTTGGGAATGAAGCTCAGCCTTGCTAGTGGTTAGGGAGAAGCAAGTGAAAATAACAGCAAGATGCTGTCTTTTCGGTGGTCTGTTCAGCAAACTTTTTTTTTTTTTTACATTTTTAAAAAATTTTTTATAAACACATAATATATTTTGATCCCCAGGGGTCCAGGTCTGTGAATCGCCAGGTTTATACACTTCACAGCACTCACCATAGCACATACCCTCCCCAGTGTCCATAACCCCACCCCCCCAACCCCCCTGCCCCCATCAACCCTGTTTGTTTTGTGAGATTAAGAGTCACTTATGGTTTGTCTCCCTCCCAATCCCATCTTGTTTCATTTACTCTTCTCCCACCCCCTTAACCCCCCATGTTGCATCTCCTCTCCCTCATATCAGGGAGATCATATGATAGTTGTCTTTCTCCAATTGACTTATTTCGCTAAGCATGATACCCTCTAGTTCCATCCACGTCGTCGCAAATGGCAAGATTTCATTTCTTTTGATGGTCGCATAGTATTCCATTGTGTATATATATCACATCTTCTTTATCCATTCATCTGTTGATGGACATCTAAGTTCTTTCCCTAGTTTGGCTATTGTAGACATTGCTGCTATAAACATTCGGGTGCACGTGCCCCTTCGGATCACTATGTTTGTATCTTTAGGGTAAATACCCAGTAGTGCAATTGCTGGGTCATAGGGTAGTTCTATTTTCAACATTTTTAAAGTACATACACTTTGCTAGAAGAAGGGAGGCAGACGCTTAAGTGGCGGGATCGATTATGAGTGCTGGAGTTGGTGTATATTGGTATAGCTCCTTCGGGGAGTACCTGAAATAGCTCTTAAAATTTTAAATGATCGTATCCTGTGATCCAGTATGTTTATTTGCTGTCTCCCTGAAGAAGCCTTGACCGTGTACACAAGCAGGCATGTGTATATTTATTTCAGCCTTGTTTGTTGTAATATAAAGTTGGAGCTTGGCTAACTGCCTAGCGATAGGGGAATGGCTTAATAAACGGGGTGCTCCCCTTACTGTGGACCCCTGTGTCACAGCTACCAGGAGTAGGTAGATGTATAGACATCCATGTATAGACTTGGAAGGAGACTACTTCTTAAATGAAAAAAGCCAAGTATGCTGTAACACATACGGGAGGATACTGTTCATGTTGAAATAATACCTCATGTGCACCCTCAAAACAGTACCATGTTTTCTTCTGTGGGCCCACTTGGGCGTGTAAATATGAAGAAAACTATTTTCAGAGATAATGCATCAGAATGGTACTGGGGAGCGGAGGGAGATTGATGGAGTTTTTCAGAGCTACTGCTTCATCCATTAACTTCCTGATATAGAAAGAGACATTGTTTGCATAGTATATACGGTAAAAGTTACTTTAGAGGGCCCCTGGACGGCTTAGTGAGTTAAGCCTCTGCCTTTGGCTCAGGTCATGATCTCAGGGTCCTGGGATTGAACCCCACATCGGGCTCTCTGCTCAGCGGGGAGCCTGTTCCCCACCCCCCCACCCCCTGCCTGCCTCTCTGCCTACTTGTGATCTCTGTCTGTTAAATGAATAAATAAAATCTTAAAAAAAAAAAAAAGTTACTTTAGGAGAAAAGAGTCTAAAGCCCATCTTGAACACAGCCCAGCTTAAATTAACCAGATCCCATGATGTTACAATGCTGTCCCAGTGAGAGCAGGGAAGGTGCTGGCAGACGCCTTATAGAAAGGCTGAGACGTGGGAAGGCGGGTTGTTTCTGCTCTGTGCCGGCTCTGGTCAGCAGGAGCTGCCTAGAGCCCTGTGTTGAGATGGATGAGGAAGCAGGTCGGTGGGCCTAGCAGAGCGCCCCATGCACGACTGATTGGTCATGTCTGCCATGAATGCAAAGGGGGATGCGGGGAATAGCACACATGCTGGGTACGTGCCACCGTCCATGCCCTGGGCCCTAGGGAGGGAGAGGGCAGAGAGTGATCTTGGTCCATCATGTTATTTTTAAGTTTTCAGAATCCTGGAGCCCCAGGGAGCGTTCGCAGCTACCTCCTGACCTGCTGGCTCCCCTGCTGCGGGTGTCAGTGCCGGGTTGAGGGCCAGGGGCACAACATCCATGCTGCCACGTCATGGATGGCTCCTCCGGGAGGGGGTGGCCCCGCGGCTCCCAGGGTGCCTTGCCTTCTGAATGGCACCGCCTTCGGCACTAGCGCCGCCCCTGCTGCCCGAGCGGGAAGTAGCTCAGGAGGGAAAACAGCCTCGGGAAGTTTGGGTGAAGCTGCCAGGCAAGTCTCTTCCTGCCCAGGGTAGCGTGGGGTGAGCCCGCGGCCCAGATGTCCTAGCTGTGCCTCCTGAGGACACGAGCCAGGAGCGGGAACGAGCAGAAGAGAGCACACAGGGAATGCGCTGTCTTTGGCTCCAAGAGGGACCTCCCCCGTGCCTCGCTGGTTTGTCGTAGGTGCGATACATGTCCTCGACGGATGCCAAAGTGGAGCAGATGTTCCAGATCCTGTTGGACCCACAAGAGAAAGGCACCGAGAAGAAGCAAAAGGTATATGTCTGGGCTGAGCGAGTGGGGGCGGACCTCCCACTACAGCTGCCCCCACCCCGCCCCCTGTCCCCTGCCCCAGCGGTGCCCTCGCCATGAGCGGTGTTGGCCCACCAGCCACTGCTGGCCTACTGTGCTGCCTGGTGCTCCTCGGGTCATGCAGCCGGGCTCCCAGAGCCCGAGCAAGAACCTACAGGGCCTAGGGCCTGTGTGTGTCCTTTCCCTTCCTTGCTGGAGGAAACCGAAGTTCATAGAGGTTCCATTTATGACCTGGGTCGCTCAGCCGCTGAATGGAAGCAGCGCGGTCCAGGGCTCCGGCTCGCTGCTCGCCCCGGCCCGTGCCGTGGGTGGCGTCCACGGGATGTGCGCTTCCTTTGACGTAGGCTTCCCAGAACCTGGTGGTGCTGGCCCGGGAGGATGCTGGGGCTGAGAAGATCTTCCGGAGCAACGGGGTTGAGCTCCTGCAGCGCCTGCTGGACACGGGCGAGGCTGACCTGATGCTGGCGGCTCTGCGCACCCTGGTCGGCATCTGCTCGGAGCACCAGTCACGAGTAGGTGGGGCGGCGGGGCTGGCTACTGCCACGGTCCGTGCACCCACCACCCTTCCACGATCCACTCTGTATTCCCAGAAGAATGGAGGCAGAGTACAAGGGGACATGTCGTGAGAGGAAAAATTAAAATGGCTCCCCAAAAACCCATCATGATTTGGGATGAACTGGGGCTTGTAAAAAGTGAAAGGAGCCCACGGACACCCTGAGCCTGTGCTTTCAGTAGGCTTTCCTGGAGCCAGCTCAGAGACGCCTCATTCGGACTCATTCATTGTGCAATAAAAGCAAGGTCTTGCAAAGAAAGGGGCCCCCATCGTTCTCCAACCATCAAACTGACGTTTCCCCTGCAGGAGTGTCCTCCAGCCAGTGATGTGGTCAGTGATGTCACCCAGAACATCTGTACTCAGACAGGGACCAGATAGGAGGGGCTTGACCCTGAGCTGGTTGTCCGTATAGACAACACAGACAAGACAACATACAACATATAGACTACAACAGC